GAACCTGTAACTGAGACAGTGAAGGGTGAACAGCCATCTTTGGAACGGGAACCTGTAACTGAGACAGTGAAGGGAACAATGGGATACATCAACACAATGAGACACAACAAAACAATAAACAAAGGACACAACAAAAACCATAAGACACTGAACCAGTAACTGAGATAGTGAATGATGTACAACAAACTGTAGAGCAACAACTAGTAACTGAGGGAGTAAAATTTGAAGAAACACCTGTAGAACAAGAACCAGTAACTGAAATAGTGAAGGGTGAAATACCATCTGTTGAACAAGAGCCAGTAACTGAAATAATAAAAGTTGAAGAGTCATCTACAGAACATGAACCAGTAACTGAGATAGTGGATGATGTACAACAAACTGTAGAGCAACAACTAGTAACTGAGGGAGTAAAATTTGAAGAAACACCTGTAGAACAAGAACCAGTAACTGAAATAGTGAAGGGTGAAATACCATCTGTTGAACAAGAGCCAGTAACTGAAATAATAAAAGTTGAAGAGTCATCTACAGTACATGAACCAGTAACTGAGATAGTGAATGATGTACAACAAACTGTAGAGCAACAACTAGTAACTGAGGGAGTAAAATTTGAAGAAACACCTGTAGAACAAGAACCAGTAACTGAAATAGTGAAGGGTGAACAGCCATCTTTGGAACAGGAACCTGTAACTGAGACAGTGAAGGGTGAACAGCCATTTTTGGAACAGGAACCTGTAACTCAGATAGTGAAGGGTGAACAGCCATCTTTAGAAAAGGAGCCAGTAACTGAAATAGTGAAGGGTGAAGAGCCATCTTTGGAACACGAAACAGTAACTGAAGTAGTGAAGGGTGAACAGCTACCTTTGGAACACGAATCTGTTACTGAGATAGTGAAGGGTGATCAAACAACTGTGGTGCTGCAACCAGTAACTGAAGGAGTAAAAGTTGAAGAACCGCCTGTAGAACAAGAGCCAGTAACTGAAGGAGTAAAAGTTGAAGAAACGCCTATAGAACAAGAGCCAGTAACTGTGGAGGGTGAACAGCCATCCTTGGAACAGGAACCTGTAACTGAAATAGTGAAGGGTGAAAAGCCACCCACAGAACACAGACCAGTAACTGAGACTGTGAATGGTAAAGAACCTTCTGTGGAACAAGAATCAGTTACTGAGATAGAGGGTGAATTGCCATCTGTGGAAAATGAACAAGTAACTGAGGATGTGAAGGTTGAAGAGCCATCTGTGGAGCAGGGAACTGTAACTGAAGTAGTAAAAGGTGAAAGACCATCTGTGGAACATGAAGCAGTTACTGAAACAGAAAAGGTTGAAGCACAACCTGCAACAGGTGGTTTTGAACATGAATCTGTGACTGGGCTTGGGTTAGAAGTTGTTACAGCTGTTCCAGTAGCAGGCACTAGTAGCAGTGCATTTGGTGGTGATAGTGTTACTTCATATACTTCAGAAGGGCCATCTGGCATATCTACAACTACAGAAACTGTTCCAACCCATGGCATTGTTCCAGGTGAAGGTATGATTTTATGAATACTTTTGCTAATTATTTTCTGTTCATTTTTAACAAATTAAAATTAATAGCCATTGAAACCCAAATACCCATTGCCTAAATTGTGCATGATAATATCAAAGTACATGTGAAACTACAGCAGATTCCTGATTATGTTGGGACAGATTAATTGGGGTTTATATGATTTAAAAAAGAAATTAAGTTTGTGGCAGTATATTTCAAATTATAATGTTTTCATTAAGGATTTATTGCATTTTTTCTTGATTTTTTAATGGAAGGGCACCAGAAGTTGAAGATAGCTATTTCTATGTGTACCTTAAGTTTAATACATTAGGAGCCTCTCTGTACAGAGTAATTCTTAATTACATGAACAAATATGAGGATCATGTTCTATTTCTAAAATGAAGCCAACACCTTATTTTTATCATACAGTTGCAAATGTTTTGTTAGCGAGATTTGGCAACATTGTGCAGTGATGAAACATCAAACTGCTGTTGATTTTTGAGCAGGAATATTTGGTAAACTCTTCATAGGACCTTATGAACTACTGCCTCAAATGTCAGGAGTCTCCTGTTTACATTAATTGAAGAGTTATTAACCCACTGGAGGATGTGGCAGTGCCAGTGCACCAGAACTTTTGGTTTATCCACAACACAGCTCCTACTCATTTCATCCATGATGTAAAGTAGTTCTTGGCCTTCTGAAGGTTATAGGTTACTCGTAAGGATTCAACATGCAAGATGAACTTTGCCATTTGATTCAATTGGCAATAACATGACACATGCATAGAATATTTGAGCGTACCAAGAATCCTAGTTATCGCACGGTTCAGTTCAGTTATGAATTCATACCAACATAGAGCATTTTCAGAAACTTTGTGAGTTCAAAATTCTGAAAGTAGGAGACCACTCAATAGAAATATGTACAGATGGGTGGATAATATTTTAATGGATCTTAAGGGGAAATCAGGTTGAAAGATGTGAATTGAGTTCATCTGGCTCAGGAGGGAGATGTTCTGCTAATTTTTGCAGGCAGCTGTCTTATAAATGGCCAGACATTCTTGAACAACTCGGCTATTCCGCCAGCCTCCCACTGCCAGCTAAGCTGTCGCTGTGTTAGCAGCATTGTGCACTGCATTTTGGTGAAATGCTCTCCACCTCCACAGCATCATAGTAATTGCATGCCTGTTCACCATGGTGGTGACATATGTTGCCCAACATACACATGTGGTAAGAATTACTATAATACATTATTTATAACACGAGGAAACTGTGATGCAATTTGTGAGATCCAAGGTTATTAGACCAATGATTATGAAGTTGGCTATCATCTGGGATGTAGTACTATGTAGCTGTATGGAGATATGCATCAACAGGGTATTTTTATTTTCACAGTGGATGATATATAAGAAAAAAGAAATATAATAATAAAATATTTGTACACTATAAACATTAAAATAAGCTCAGCCACAGAGTTACGGAACTGAATGGCCTAAGCAATAACTTTGGTCTAATACTGCATTAAATCTATCTTACTTCTTTTCAGATGAAGATAATAAGGAGACACCTGAGTCTGATAGTCAGATGGCAGGAACAGAACGTCCTGGTACAACAATAACAACGCAGGAGGAGAAATTTGGAAACCATAAAACAACCACCCGAGTAGAATTGATATCAGAAGAGCAATTGTATCAGGTTACAGAATCATCAGTAGCTCACATTCCTGGTGAAACTATACCTGAAAAACCAGAAGAAGGATCAGGACATGTTCCTGTTGAATTTGATCATCCAACAGAAAATGTTGCTACCTTATCGGAGGTTCCACAGACAGAATCACCAGTACAAAAGCCTGAAGATGTTTCTGTAGAATTACAGACAAACAAAACTGAAGCAACTGAACCTGAACAAAAACCAGAGCATATTCCTGGACAATCAGAAGAAGATAACACAAAGCCTGTGCATGATCCTACAGATTCTGGGACAGCTGAAACTGAAACACCTGAGCAAAAACCAGAAATAGAATCAGACCTTGGTCATACACAAGCACAGGAACACATTCCTTTTGAGCCTGAGACTGACCACCCAGAAATACCTGATAACTCTGAGATTGACCATTCAAATACACCGGAGCACATCACTATTTCTTCTGAAAATAGCCATGCAGAAACACCAGAAGAGATTCCAGAAACTGAACGGGATCACACTGAAACACCTGTACCGAAACCAGGACAAATCCCTGTTCAATCTGAGAGTGATCACACTATAACACCAGAAGAAAAACCAGAGTCAGTATCTGTTGATTCTGAAGCACCCGACCAGAAGCCAGAACATGTTCCTGTAGAACCTGAGGTGGAAACACCTGTACATGTACCAGAATTTATCCCTACAGAATCGGAGGCAGATTATACAGAATCGCCTGAACATCCTTCATACCACACAGAAACACCTGACCTGAAACCAGACCACATTCCTATAGAATCAGAAGCACAGCATACAGAAGCACCTGAACATATACCAGAACATGCTGTTACAGAATCTGTAACTGGACATACGGAGGCTCCCGAACATATCCCGGAGGAAGGTCATTCTGAAGAACCTGAAAAAGAACATATTCCCGTAGGATCAGAACCTGGACATACAGAAACACCTGAACATATACCAGAACATGATGTTACAGAATCTGTAACTGGACATACGGTGGCCCCCGAACATGTCCCCGAGGAAGGTCATTCTGAAGAACCTGAAAAAGAACATATTCCCGTAGGATCAGAACCTGGACATACAGAAACACCTGAACATATACCAGAACATGCTGTTACAGAATCTGTAACTGGACATACGGTGGCCCCCGAACATGTCCCCGAGGAAGGTCATTCTGAAGAACCTGAAAAAGAACATGTTCCCACAGGATCAGAACCTGGACATACAGAAACACCTGAACATATACCAGAACATGATGTTACAGAATCTGTAACTGGACATACGGAGGCGCCTGAACATGTCCCTGAGGAAGGTCATTCTGAAGAACCTGAAAAAGAACATGTTCCCACAGGATCAGAACCTGGACATACAGAAACACCTGAACATATACCAGAACATGATGTTACAGAATCTGTAACTGGACATACGGAGGCACCCGAACATATCCCGGAGGAAGGTCATTCTGAAGAACCTGAAAAAGAACATATTCCCGCAGGATCAGAACCTGGACATACAGAAACACCTGAACATATACCAGAACATGCTGTTACAGAATCTGTAACTGGACATACGGAGGCTCCCGAACATGTCCCTGAGGAAGGTCATTCTGAAGAACCTGAAAAAGAACATGTTGCCGCAGGATCAGAACCTGGACATACAGAAACACCTGAACATATACCAGAACATGCTGTTACAGAATCTGTAACTGGACATACGGAGGCTCCCGAACATGTCCCTGAGGAAGGTCATTCTGAAGAACCTGAAAAAGAACATGTTGCCGCAGGATCAGAACCTGGACATACAGAAACACCTGAACATATACCAGAACATGCTGTTACAGAATCTGTAACTGGACATACGGAGGCTCCCGAACATGTCCCTGAGGAAGGTCATTCTGAAGAACCTGAAAAAGAACATGTTCCCACAGGATCAGAACCTGGACATACAGAAACACCTGAACATATACCAGAACATGATGTTACAGAATCTGTAACTGGGCATACGGAGGCACCCGAACATATCCCGGAGGAAGGTCATTCTGAAGAACCTGAAAAAGAACATATTCCCGCAGGATCAGAACCTGGACATACAGAAACACCTGAACATATACCAGAACATGCTGTTACAGAATCTGTAACTGGACATACGGAGGCTCCCGAACATGTCCCTGAGGAAGGTCATTCTGAAGAACCTGAAAAAGAACATATTCCCGCAGGATCAGAACCTGGACATACAGAAACACCTGAACATATACCAGAACATGCTGTTACAGAATCTGTAACTGGACATACGGAGGCACCCGAACATATCCCAGAGGAAGGTCATTCTGAAGAACCTGAAAAAGAACATGTTCCCGCAGGATCAGAACCTGGACATACAGAAACACCTGAACATATACCAGAACATGATGTTACAGAATCTGTAACTGGGCATACGGAGGCACCCGAACATATCCCAGAGGAAGGTCATTCTGAAGAACCTGAAAAAGAACATGTTCCCGCAGGATCAGAACCTGGACATACAGAAACACCTGAACATATACCAGAACATGCTGTTACAGAATCTGTAACTGGACATACGGAGGCTCCCGAACATGTCCCTGAGGAAGGTCATTCTGAAGAACCTGAAAAAGAACATATTCCCGCAGGATCAGAACCTGGACATACAGAAACACCTGAACATATACCAGAACATGCTGTTACAGAATCTGTAAGTGGACATACGGAGGCTCCCGAACATGTCCCTGAAGCAGATCATTCTGAAGCACCTGAACATAAACCAGAACACATTCCTTCAGATTCTGAAACTGACCAGACAGAAGCACCAGAACATGTTCCTACAGAAATGGACATCTTAAACACAAAAGTGCCCGAACGTGTCCCTGAGACAGGCCATTCTGAAAAACCTCAATATAAACCAGAGCATGTTTCTACAGAATTTGAGCTTGAACATACGGTAGCACCTGCTCCTGAGTCAGAACATGTTCCTGTGGAAGTAGAAGCTGACAATACGAAAGCACCTGACCATGTCCCCGAGGTTAGCCAGTCAGAAGGGCCAGAACATGTGCCAGAACACATTCCCACAGAATCAGAAACACCAGAACAGAAGCCACAACATATTCCTTCTATAGTTTCTGATTTTGATCACACTGATTTACCTCTTCAGAAACCTGAGCAAATCCCTGTAGACTCTGGAAGTGACATAACATTAACTCCCATACATGTACAAACTGAAATAGGACATGATATTGTTCCAACAGTGAAACCCATACATGGACTTGTAACATCTGCAGATCACACGGTTTCTTCTATAGAACATGGTATAATTCCTGGTGAAGGAAATTATAGTGCTCATGAAACAACAAAATCACCAGTGACAAGTGTTTCTGATCACAAAGCCACAAATATATTTGGAGCATCGGTGACAACAGAAAACTATCCACATGAAAGCCCTGGAGGATTTCACTTTACGACAGCACAGATAATTCCATCAGAAAAGCCAACAACAGGTCATCACTTTTCAACTGAAGAGCCACTTGGAGGAGGAGAAGGAGAGGCAAATATTCCATCTTCAGGTGGTGCTTATCTCCCACCATCATCTGGTGGTTCAGATTATGATGAGGATGATGAGCAAGCTGCCTTTGGACCTGGCACCTGCCGCTATGGTGGAAAAGTTTATGTGTCAGCACAGCAGATTCCCAGGGATGACCCTTGCGATTTCTGCTTTTGTTTCCGTAGTGATATTATCTGTCTTCAACAGAGTTGTCCGCCACCAATTAAAGGATGTCATGAAGAACCAATTCAAGGTTTCTGTTGCCCTCGTTATGAATGTCCAGTATCCATGGCAACCTCCGTGAATGTGACAACAACTACCACTACTACCACTACAACGCTGCCCCCACACTTTTTTTCACACGCGTACAAGGGAGTAGCATCACGGACAGGGTGCCAGATACAAGGACAAGCATACAGAGTGGGTGAAATAGTTCGGTCAGCATCAGGGCCCTGTCTGACCTGTAGGTGAGTAAGAAATTTTATTTTCAGTTGTAGTGTATACAGGTGTTTCTTTTAGGAGTTATATGCCACTTCTACTGCTATATTTTTAAAGATATTTTAGTGTCCATAATTCTAGATATCTTTTTAAGGAGTTGTACACAATGTTTTCTTAATTCTATTGACATGGCAAATGCCACAGATCACATTAGGTTGTTGGCCTCAGTCCCTTCTCGTGTCTTTAATGCTCAGTGATTTTACCTTTTCTATTATAAGCTAGTAATTACTAACAATTGATTTTATGATTAAATTATTTATAGGATATTAATGATCCATGTCACCACAGAATCACTGTTCCTGTAATGTATCCCTCTCTTATCATTAATTAGGAAAGAGAATCCAAATAACAGACACGTGACTGTAATTGATATAAATAAAAAAATAATTCAAACATAATTTGAAAAATCCAAAACTTAGTGAAATAGATTTGACAGTGCGCCACAGAAGTTAATACTGGCAAATCGAGAGGTCTGGTAGAGGCCAGTTTTAACCATTCTCTGCCTAGACAAAGTTTTCTTGCACTGCAGGAATAATTCTGTGTTTAAGAGCCAGTAGCATTTCATTTTTATTAAATGGACTGAGGTAAACCACAAAGAACTCGGTCAGTAGGCCCAGCATTAAATTTAGGTAATTCTCAAATGTGATGTCAAATATGTTAACATAGCTTTACCTTGTTAAGTAATTTTCAAAGAATTATGATTTAATAGTGAAACTATTTTTGCAGATGCGGAGGAGATGGTCAAATGAAATGCGATCCTAAAGTGTGCAGTCCAGAACCTATGTTGAGGAAAATGATTGAGGCAGTATCTACAAGACGGAGATGAAGTTGATCTTTTTTTGTGAACTTAATTTGCGTGCTCAATCCTCTCCCTGCGAGCAGGGGAGAAAGTTTGTTTCTTCAGCAACTACGAAGGTTGCAGATGACATGTTGTGATGGTGAGAGTGATAAACCCAACTCCAGCATTACATAGCTTGCCTCTGGCAGCATATGAACAGTTTGCAAAATGCAGTGTGAATGGCCATGAAGAATGCCAGTAGACATTTCTTTCAAACAATTAAAATGGGTGCCAAAATGACAGGACAAAAAGAGGAAGAGAGAGAGTGTGCAAAAGATTTTCATACTAACTGTGCCTTTTCTCTAATTCCTCCCTAAATCCTTTCAATCTTTCTGTCTTCCAGTCTATCATTTTGCAGATGTAAAGACAGTATTTACATCAAATGCAAGACAGTGACTGACTGATGACTACTTATTTGGGTAATTCAATGAATCTAGAAATACTCAACACAACTGCACAACTTGACAAAACATGCAACGTGTAACAAACCATGTGATCCTTAGACTGATTCTCTAGAAACTAAATTGAATGTGTGTCATAGGACTCTGTATATCTTATGTTTTTGCCTCAAACATTTCTTCTCTTCAGAGAATATTACAGGTTATTTACAGTTGAGTAACACAGGATGTTGCACGTCACTAATTGTACATTGACTTTGGTCATGGGTTGATAGAAGGAATTATGCATCCTTTTGTCACGAATGCTGAATGACATCACACACTATAAATAGCTCAAAAAAAATTATAGATTTGCATATTTTCATATTATGTGTTTCAGTCACACAAACATTTAATTTATAATTTAGATGTGAAAAAGTTTGACGTGTACATTTAATAGTAAGCTGTTCTGGCTTCAGCTTCGTGACCAATAATTGCCTGAGTTGTTTGACAGGTAGAAATATAGAGAATTTGGTTCTGATTCTTTTTTATATATATATTTTTTTGTAGTAAAATACATTTCTACCTCTTGAACATTTAGGTTTGGAACATATGTACATTTTTGCATTATGTCCAAGTTTATCACTTAAGTACTAGTAATTTTAGTATTTATATATAAATATATATACATATGTAATTATGTGACCCTTGGCCAGTGATTTTTTCACAAAATTGAATAATTTATATGTTAATTGGGAATAATAAATTATGTTCAATTTTGTGTTCAAAATCATACTTTCAGTATCTGACTGCTGGCTGAGGAAGTACACACAAAAGATAAATCCAATTCCCCCATTTTTACAAATAAAATTTTATACAGTAAAATGCAGTCTTTATTATTTTCATTGCGTTACCTCCATAACAGTTTGACAAATTAAGGAAGTGACAATTACAGACGTAGACCTCTGTTCTGAAATATTTATTCAGACTAGTTTAATTATTCAATATGAAATAATAAAAATTCAATTAATTTGTCAATGTGGACGAAAAAACACATAGCAGCCTAAACTGTGCAGAATGCACTGTGTCTGTGTGCATGTGGGAGGTAAAGCTGATACTATTAAAAAATAAAGAAAGGTTAATTTTTAGAAAACATGTACCTGTTTGGCAGCAGAGAGTAGCAATTTTTTTATTTTGTTTAATGTGGCTGAAGAATATGCACCACTCCTGCAACTGTTCAGTGGCAGGCAACATGGCAGATGATGTGGCATTCGACAGAGAAAATATTAGCTGCGTGCACCCAGAGCACATGGCAATGAATGACATTTCTTGAGTGGGTAGGCAAGAAGAAGCTGTCTGTCTCTGCTGCCAAAAAAAAATTAAATCTTCACTCATATGTTTTTAATTTACAGTACATTTTTCAGGAAAACAATAACAACAATTTTGCAAAGGTGTAATCAGTTCTATGGTGCACAGAGTTTTCACATGTGTTCTTTGCAGATTTTGAATTCTGAATTCTAAACCTACCCTAACCTAACACAACCAAGTCTACCATAACCTGATCTAAAGTAATTTTACACTTTCTAACCTAATCTTACCAAGATGGGGCTCCATCCTGTAAGGCAGATCTGCCTCTCTTCGGGCTCCACTGGGCAACCGAGGAGTCGTCATATGGTAGGGTAGTTGAGAGCTGAAGGGAGGACAAACATAAAATTTCAGTCTTTCCCCCATGCTGGGAAACTGTACTGTGAGAACTTTATTCTGTGGTGTTGAATTAAATATCATTCCTTCATCCCATCATTGCTAATAGCACTTCTGAAAGCTGAATTTGTAGCCAATTTGATTTTGTGCTAGTTAAACCCTGATTACATGTAGATGAGAAAGGACACATGCAATTGAAATAAATGACTTAAAAAGAAGTATAACCCCCTATAATTCATTATAACAATTTACAGGTTACAATTGTTTATCCATTAAGTGCTTGCATGACAAGTTAACATGACACAAACATGATTCTATTGTAGGATCTTAGACTTTAAAAATATGGTACGTAACATATAACTTCATGCCTTGCATTAACAGCAGCAATTGAAGGTAGTAACGCTGTATGTCTACATGCCCATAGCCCACAATACCTTGGATGCAGCAAGTACCTATGAAATACTGGTAAAATAATACCAGACTACAGAGTGTTACAATCCAGAAGGCAGCCAGCTTCGTTGGCATATTAAATTCATATGATACATATTAAATACTAGCATACAGGAAAATGAGATTTAATACACTATTGTCTTAAATATATGGTATCTAAAGTTGATTGCATTTAAAAATTGTTACCCTTTCTCATTCGAAGTAATATAACTTGAAGTTAATAAGAATCATAATAAAGAAAAATAATTACAAAAATCTTTCGTAATAATAATAATAATAATAATAAAGGGAATAAGCACAACACTTTCGTATTGCCGCCGTAATATCTCTCCAGGCAAACGTAATCGAACCAACGGGAATAACTACAAGGAGTGTTGCCGTGAAATTTCTTGCGTATTTTACAGTCAAATGGTGAATATTGACTTGGTGTGATATATCGTTGATCGCAGTGTTTGGTTGGCGGACAGTTGTTGTAATGGGGAACGCAGACACAAAATTAAATTTCAGGAAAGCAGTTGTTCAGCTTACATCCAAGACACATGTAAGTTATGGACAGTATTGTCTGCCTATTTCCCAAACAGTTAATGCTGGCAGAACCACTTTATTTTTTCTTTGTATATTTTACAGCATGGTTATACGTCGTGGTGGTGACGTCTATAGTTGTTTGCTGTTCTAACATAACAGGAGGCGTATTTGTAATGCATCGCATGTTTACCTTATGTAATTAAAAATGTCATAGCCACATACTTTGCCTGAGTAATAAATTGACATATCGGAAATCGGAATCAAATATAAAGTAGGTGTATTGCAACCAGCTTTCAGGCATACATGAGGGGCGGGACATTTATTCCCAGTGAAAAGTGCATTTGTCTTTCTCAAAATAACATCATAGTATTACGTAAAGTCGTGCCATTTAGAAATTCAAAGTAAATTACACAGTATAGTTTGTTTTATATGATTGTGAAACTTTGTCTTTCACCTAAAAGGATGAACATGGATTAAAGGTGTTTGAAGATAATGTGCTAAAAATATTTATGCCAAAGAGGGATGAGAGTGGGTGGGGGGTTATAAGAGGGTGTAGAAAATTGTAAAATGGAAAGGTTCATTTGTAATCTTCACCAGGTATCTTATTTTGAATTATGAGTTGTGCAGGGCATATTTTAGTTTTCGGTTACATTATCTCCAGCCTCCTAGGGAGACTAGATTGTTACAGTTGCATGCCATGTAGCAGTAAATCATGCATTGACAGTTACAGTGGTTCCACAAACTCCTGGTTATTTCTTTATTTTATAGCTATCCAATATATGGATTTGTAAAATAGTTTTTAAAACAATCATGCCTTTTTGGGATCATTTCCAGAAGCCAAGAATATTGTTACATTAGTGTTCATTTAGAAAATCAAAGAAATAAACTGCCTAAAAACAGTGCTTGTATGTAATGTTAAATTGAGCTTAATAAGAATTAATTGTTATAACCACACTTTGTGAACTGTTGTTAAATTGGTAGAACTGTATTTGAATCTGAGATCTCATGGTTCATCAAGAAAGGCTGGTGTAGGTCATACCACTCCTTCATGAGCAGAAAGTCAAGGACAGGAAATAGATCATCGAATTAAGACTCGTGAGCATTCATCAAATCAATGAATGTGCATTATTAATGTTTGTATGCCCAAATTTATCTCTGTGTGGAGCAACATCAGCATTATACCCTTCTAGCATGATGCCATTGGTATAGTTAATGCTACTTAAATAATATTTTGTTCTCTACAGCCTATTGATGCCGGTGATGACAGTTTCTGGGACCAGTTCTGGTCTGAGAGTGTAACTAATGTGCAAGATGTTTTCACATTGGTGCCCTCGCCAGAAATCCGAGCTCTTCGAGAAGAAGCACCATCAAATTTAGCAACTTTGTGCTATAAAGCAGTTGAAAAGTTGGTGAAGGCAGTTGACAACAGTTGTAGAACTCAATATGAACAACAAACTGGTAAAATGATCTTTGTAACTAAATTCAAAGTGAAAATAGCCTTTTTATGCTTTGTAATATAACATGGCAGCTTTTGATGGGAGGATAATATGAAAATGGATCTTGATGATAAAGGGTATGAGTGTGTGGCCCAGATTCAACTGGCTCATGATAGGGTGCAATGGTGGGTTATATAAAAGGCAGGGAACTTTTTGACCAGCTGATTGATTGCTAGCTGCTCAGAATTCTCATTCATGAATTCAGTTTAGTTAGTGGCCCAGTGCATATGTCTCATCTCATTTCATGAAACCTTTGCAGTTGATACAGTGTCTTTATCTAGTGTGCAGACCAATATTAATCTATACTCGCCATTACAAAACTGCAAACTTCAAAGGTAATGTATGATCTGAGGGTTTCACAGCGACTGACTATAATGAATTCTTTTCAGACTACCAGCCATGTCAGGTGGTTTACTGGAGAAAATACCAACGTTTCAAGAACCTTTCTCCTTCTCCTCAGAGTACCCTGTGAATGAGGACGAAGATGGTTCTCAAAGTGGCGTTTTCTTCATTAAACCACCTGACACAGCTGGCAGCCCAAAAACTTGTTGTTCAGAGTTAATGACAAAAATAAACAATGTTGCAACATGAACAGTACAGCTTAGACGAGTTAAATGTTTTTCTGAATTTTTCACTTCTGCCTTTTGTAACAGTATTTATGAGATATTCTGACCACTGCATTTTGATTTATTTTTTAATACTACAATATCTGTATAATTTATTAAATTTTGCAATGACATTTTAGTATTTTAATTTTATTTTGTGCTGTCAGTCCTGAACTGTGTGCGACTGCTGACTCGAGTATTGCCATACATCTTTGAAGATCCGGACTGGCGAGGATTTTTCTGGTCAAGTTTGCCAGGACAATCTCAGGAAGACGATGAAGAACAATCCATGCCATTGGCGCAGTCACTCATCAATGCTATCTGTGTAAGACAGTGCAACCTTCGTATATTTACTGATTTCATACTATTGATAGTTGCCCTTCTCTTCTATGCTTGAATTCTGTTTGTGAGAAATTATTCGATGGAAAAATTGTTTTTGTAATATTACCGTTCCACAAATCAATATTTTTCTCGGTGTGTTGCCACAGAACGACGAGCGTTTTGTTGTGTTATGTGATTAGCGTCAGGATTTTAAATATCCTTGTATTTGTTGATTTGAGATTGCATTCATGTATTAAATATAATTTTACAGGATTTGCTGTTTTGCCCTGACTTCACCGTTGCTGCCAATAGAAAATCTGGTCCAGTAAGTAACATAAATGTATTAACGTATGCAAGGTAAAGCCTTTCTGATCGTGACGTTTACATGTTAATTTAATGTTCACACAGGACAAGGCAGAGGATCTTCAGGCCATTGACAGTTGTGAATATATTTGGGAAGCTGGAGTGGGTTTTGCGCACTCGCCACCACGTTACCCGACCCACGATTCAAATAGAACGGAGCTTCTGAAGCTGCTTCTTACTTGCTTTAGTGAAACAATGTACCAGCCTCCAGTTGGTAAGCAGAATTTTGTTTCTGCTTTATTCGCTCTTATTTTCCTCTCAGACCCTTAATATTTTCTGTTTTTTTTTGCAATATCTGAGACTGTTCTGTCATTCATATTTGTAACTACCACAAGATGGGTATATTGAAGTATGCAGATATGTATTTAGTATAAAATGCACCAGTGAGACAGGTTTTGGAATGCTGAATTTGTCATATAAGGCACGTGGTTGCAAGCGGAGAGATTTTTCCGATAAAGACCCTGGCCACACGACCTTACAAAATATGTCGTTGCAACGGACGTAGGTGAGGACACCACACGAGCGCAGTTGCCCCAATGGATCCGGAAGAAGCCGTCGCTTTCTGTGGTCTTGCCCCTTCGTAATTCTATGACGGACGTCACGATGCGCGTTACAACGGACGTACTCTGTACGGTCGTGTGGCCCCAGCCTAAGCCGTAATGAAATTGCCCAAACTTGACAGTAACCCAGTTTTTCTCCCCCTAACAGATATTCATATTGCACCTAATCGATGGATACAGTACTTCACTTGCGCAGAGAATCGACACGCATTACCAATGTTTACTTCGCTGCTGAATACAGTATGTGCTTATGATCCTGTCGGTCTTGGAGTGCCCTATAATCATCTCTTGTTCTCTGATTCTGTGGAACCGTTGGTGGATACTGCATTGCAGATCCTTATCGTCACATTGGATCATGATACAAGTGGCAGTGCACCAGAGGGTGAGGAGGTACGTATTTGTACTATGTATTTTTCTTTCATATAATTTATTGTGTCTGAAATTGTTTTTTTTTTTATACAGATTAAAAGTTTGCGCTATCCTTAGTTTAGTTTTAATCTTGACAGCAGAATTAAGTGACCCAGCGAAACTTTTTCATAACACCACATCCAAAACAGCTGTGGAGTGCACACAGTCACTAATTAATTATTATAATTCTCTAGAAATCAGTTAAGTCAGAAGTACGAGGAGCGTCCACAAAGTAAGTTTCCCACTCGTCCCACAGCTAGCAAACCTTATATTGCGCGAAGCGACTGTGCGTACGTGATAGAGCAATGACGTAGCATGGCGCATGCACTAACGGCACTTCCCGCGTTCTCACAGTAGCATCGTTGCAGCTGTTGAAGATGGAGATTCTTATTCCAGCTCCCGCCGACTGTGAAGTGCGGTCAGGGATAACGCTAGGCCGCACACGGCTCAACGGACAGCGAGTCTCCTGCAGGAGTTCAGCTGGGAGGTGTTTAATCATCCACCCTACAGCCCGGACCTCGCTCCCAGTGATTTCCATCTTTTCCTACACCTCAAGAAATTCCTGTCCGGTCAGCGTCAGCGTTTTGAGAATGACAGAGAGGCGGAGATGGCTGTCACACAGTGGTTCCAATCCCAGGCGGCAGACTTCTACGACACAGGTATTAAAAGTTGGTCCCACGGTATGACAAATGTCTCAATTCCGGTGGCGAATATGTTGAAAAATAGCTGGACACTTGCTGTATCTGTCGCAATAAATATTTCCATGAAATTGTGTTTTGTTTCGGTAAACGGCCCCAGGGAAACTTACTTGGGGGACGAGCCTCGTATGTTGTGTGGTTCAGTCAGGTTCACAACTCGCTTATCTGAAATATCATCATCCCATCTCAGTCCTTCAGGTGGTATCTTCCCCATGAGAGTTCCAACGTGTGTACTCGCTGTGTGGGATCTCCCAGTCAAGCACCAACGCCACCGAAAGGTGGATTTAAAATCGATACAATGACAACAAAGTATAAATTACACTGCAAACTTTTACGTAGTATTTCTTGAGCTAAATAACATCGTTCATTTTGTTTTATAAATCAGTAAATCGAAGGACTCACACTGCTCTAATTCTTCAAGAACGACTCATTACTACGATTTAGTTTTAACATTGCCCAATGGTGTGCGAGGTAAGAAGTCAAACATAAATGTCCATACCAACTAGGGGAAAATACTTTCCCAAAGGACTTTCCATCAGCAGAGGAAGACTGCGGTCTTGCGATTGAAACGCTGTGATCACGTAACTTCTTGTTTCTGTATCTTCGCCATGTATATAGACGCAGTTTTTTTCAAATCCTATGAACTGCCTTATATGTGTCTTCAAGCTTTGAACCAAACTTGAAGTTTTCAGTAATTTATGATCCATTTACCCCAAGAAAGTGTATTGTTAATTCACATCCAAAAATAAAGGCATTTAATATTTCCACAGGTTTATGAGCATCTATTTTAGACATGAATGACCATTTTCTTCAATTTCGTGTTTGAAGAAATATGTCTTGAACTGTTTTGATCATTGGCTACTGCAAATTTTGTCTTAAATCAGGGAACTCCACACGCAGTCTAACATACGTTCACTTACACGTACAGTTTGTAGTCTGGTAGATGTTTTCCGACATATCAGAAGCTCACCCTGATGATTGATGTAGCAAGGACGTCTGAAACGTTGGTTAACTTCACAGAAACTACATTGCCCTACATCCCAGAAGACAACCATCTAAATATTACCATGGAAACCTCAAATCCTACTAAATACTGTTCATATATTCGCTGTAGAAGAGCTTGAATTTTTTTGATTTTTGGAGTTCATTAATTAAGATTATTTCTGCAGGCATCAGTGCCAGATAACTTGTTCATCAATTACTTGTCGCGGATACACCGAGATGAAGACTTTCACTTCGTTCTGCGGGGTTTTACGAAGCTCCTGAACAATCCTCTCGTTCAGACGTACTTGCCCAACTCTACCAAAAAGGTGCAATTCCATCAGGAGCTCCTAGTCTTTTTTTGGAAAATGTGTGACTACAACAAGGTAACGTGAAATTATGACTCAGGTCCGCTGGTTATGTGTAATTACTAGTGTAAAATTTAAAAAAAATTTGTAATGTTCTGAGCTAAGACATGGTAATAATGTATAGAGTGCACGTTGTAACATTTTGTTGAATTCAGTGTTTTACTATTTAAACATTTCAGAAATTCTTGTATTATGTGCTGAAGAGCAGCGACGTGTTAGAGATTTTGGTGCCAATCCTGTACCATCTTAACGACTCCCGTGCCGATCAATGTAAGTAGAACTCGGTCATTTCTAATTTACACTCTCTCAGTATTAGAACGTCTTGCAGTGTTTGATTTTTTAATACAGCAGTGTTATCCACATTGCATAACTCTTCTAGCTGAAAAAACATTAATAAATAACGACAGCATCGTGCGGCCAAGAACGTAAATAAAAACAACAGTTTATTGTATCTTATAAAAATAAGTAGAGTTAATCTTGATTTGCAGCTCGAGTTGGTCTGATGCACATAGGTGTGTTCATCCTGCTTCTTCTCAGTGGGGAGAGAAATTTTGGTGTTCGCCTCAATAAACCATACACCGCCACAATACCGATGGACATTCCTGTCTTCACAGGTAAGCTTATTGTCTGATTTCATTACTTTAGGAATACCTAGTTTTCGAAGATTATTACTGAGCTTTTATGACTGTTGCTATTTTACTGAAACTTTTCATACCATGCACTATGAGTCGTGAGTTACAGTGTGAATTAATTTTGAAGATTTTTGTCTTCTGGGTTGTTGCGCTGTGTAGTCTGGTCGATGTTTACCAACGTTTCAGAGGTCATACTGCCTCCGTCATCAGGGCGATGAGTATGAAGATTTCTGTCTTCTGGGTTGTTGCGCTGTGTAGTCTGGTCGATGTTAACGAACGTTTCAGAGGTCATACTGCCTCCGTCATCAGGGCGATGATGTAGGTATAAAATCAGTTTCATTATAAATACACATTTAGGTACATGCAGTATTTTAAATGTTGCAGGGACGCATGCGGATCTCCTAATTACAGTTTTCCACAAAATTATCACAACTGGTCACCAGAGGTTGCAGCCATTGTTTGATTGTCTCCTTACGATTCTTGTAAATGGTAGGTATCAGTGGTGGACTGAGTGTAATATTATTTAATTATCTATAAATTTTGTTGTGGGAGGAGCACATAAAACTTAGAATGGTGTGGTTTTTCATTGTGTAAACGTTCTCCCAGTGTTAGTGGCCAAAGGATTAGCGAAAGTCAACAGTGATATTCACTGCCGCTGCTAGCTGTTTTGTGTTGTCATGTTCTGTTGTTTGCTTCATCAGAAGGAGTAAATGTTTCCAAACAACCACTAAAAAGGGCTATATATATATATATATATAAAAAATGTTCCTATGAACATTGGATCGCAAATGTTTCATTTTTGAAATAACAGACAAAAATAAGTTTCAATGAATTGTCTTTATATCAAAGTGAATCCAGCTTCCAGCAAAGATTTTCAGTAAACGTTTGGGCAGGAATTGTTGGCGACGTGCTTATTGGTCCACACATGCTTCCATCGCGTCTAAGAGGACCTTCATATCGGTGATTCTTAAGAAGACACTTGCCACGTCTCCTTGAAGATGTACCACTGAATACAAGAAGACAAATGTGGTTTATGCACGACAGAGCCCAAGCACACTTCTCTCGTCTCGTCACATATCATCTCAATGAACAGTACCCTCAGCGATGGATTGGGTGTGGTGGCCCAGTAACATGGCCACTGAGGTCATAACTCCATTGGACTTTTATCTGTGGGGTCACTTGAAGTCCGTCGTTTATGCAACACCCATAAAAAATGACGACGGCCCATGGAAACGTGTGCAGAATGCACGCCAGATGATTCGATGAAACCCTGGTGTGTATGAATGAATCCGTCAGTCTTGTGCACGTTGTGGTCGTGCATGTGTGGAAAATGGAGGAACAACCTTTGAGCATCTGTTATAAAGAAACATCCCTGTCCTTATACTTGGCATTAAAGGCACACGTTGAAAATTATTTTTGGCTATTATTTCAAAAATAAAACATTTGCGACCCCAAGGGCTTGGTAAAGCAAAACTTATGGAACATTTGGACGTACTTGAGATATTTTTTCCTGTCCATTATCTGTCCTCTGCTTGTATCTCTCCTTCCTGGGCATAATAAAACCATTTTTCAAAATTATATTGAGGTGAAAATTTACTACAGTTGCTTTTTCAAGTCCTCATGATTATTCAGTATCAGTTTGATGGTAAGCAATTGTATTCTGCATGCGATTCTTCTGAACAGGATATTATAGAGAAAGAAATGTTCCAACATTTTAAAGTCTTTGACATGCATTTTGTATTCGTCTTGTTGTTTAAATTTGTGGTAATAAAACTTTTTGTTATAAAATTGAACGTAAGACACATTAAATTTCCTCGGTATATATTTAGGTGGATGGCTCAGTTATTAGAGGGATTAAGGCTATTTTCTGGACAACCAGGGTTTGATTCCCAGTAGGTCAGGACTTTTATCTTTATCGGTATGTTCAGACGCCCTGACGCTACCCAGAAAACAAACTTGGTTATGTGACTTTCATGTCAGTGCTAGTCTCCTACCCGACCATCACTTTCATTGGTCATGTAATTTAGTCTCAGAAAACTCATTAACATTAATTCATGTTTTTCTTCAGGTTCGGCAGATATATTAGTGTTTTTGCGTAATAGACATCTGGCATAAATAATTGTAGTCAGTGGACGTACAGAAAAGACACATGAGGGAAATACAAGGAAATTATGTTGCCATCTGTGTGCTTAAATAACCTCTGGTTACAGTCTTAGAAAGTTTTACGTGCTTGATTTTTGTCAAGCAGGGTGTACCTGTAACAGCATAGTTGTGAACATTTATCGTGGAATTACAGCACCAACTCTGCCACTTTTTCCTGAATGATTTCATATGAACAGCAAGTCCCAAATGTTTTTTTTTATATCATGAAGGCTCTTGTTACAATCTCTGTGTGTGTATCGTATTTCTGAATTCAGGGAAGATGGACTGAAAATGTTTGTTACTGACCTCATATCCATAAATATGTACCAGATTGTTTGTGCTGTAGTAGATTTCTCCTTTTCAAGTAAAATAAATGCTCTGTCTAAGAATTATTATAATTTAACTTCTTCTCAGCCAGTTAAATTAAATCCGTGGCGTAACAGCACATGGCCACTGAGGTCATAACTCCATTGGACTTTTATCTGTGGGGTCACTTGAAGTCCGTCGTTTATGCAACACCCATAAAAAATGACGACGGCCCATGGAAACGTGTGCAGAATGCACGCCAGATGATTCGATGAAACCCTGGTGTGTATGAATGAATCCGTCAGTCTTGTGCACGTTGTGGTCGTGCATGTGTGGAAAATGGAGGAACAACCTTTGAGCATCTGTTATAAAGAAACATCCCTGTCCTTATACTTGGCATTAAAGGCATACGTTGAAAATTATTTTTGGCTATTATTTCAAAAATAAAACATTTGCGACCCCAAGGGCTTGGTAAAGCAAAACTTATGGAACATTTGGACGTACTTGAGATATTTTTTCCTGTCCATTATCTGTCCTCTGCTTGTATCTCTCCTTCCTGGGCATAATAAAACCATTTTTCAAAATTATATTGAGGTGAAAATTTACTACAGTTGCTTTTTCAAGTCCTCATG